CCTACTTAAGGAATAATGTACGATGTCGATAGACGACAATCGTTACATATGTAATACCCAAATTACAAAATAATTTATATTTAAATTTCATAATTCATTCAGAGTTTCAGACACTTATTAACTGTAATGTAGTATACTTATAAGATTAAAATAATAATAATACTTTTAGTCTTTACTTACAACTAGCAAGTTACAACAGTAAATCAACATATTTTTGGTAAAAAATAAAGTAAACTTTTAGAATTTTAATGTTATTATTTATTAAAATTTTTATGAATTTAATAATTTATGATATACCTATTATTCGAAAAGAAAAAAAAAATAATATTAAAATTAACTTACTATTAATTGCTAGGTAATGATAATTAACTACAAAAATTTAAGTTAATCAATACAAATTTTAACTAAATAAGTTTATAATTTTAAAACAAAACTAAAAGTACTAATAATATTGATATTTCTGGTACTAGTTCATTTTTAGTAACGCCCAATGAAGATAATTTTGATTTTTCTGTTGATAGTCAAATTCAAGATGTATTGGAAGTATCCAAAATTTGTCCGACATTATGGATAAAAGAACAGGTGATAGAGTTTCATGGAAAAAAATCCATGGTTAAATAGTAAAAATGGGAAACTAGAATGTAATACTTGCATTCATTTAAAAATAGTATTTAATTTCAAAAATCTAACTCAGATAACAGTGTTCGAATTTCATCTGAGTGGGTAGGCTTTGAAATAGTAGCATCTGGGAGTAATAGAACAAATCAATTGGCTTCATTGAGAAATAAAATCAAACAACATTTATAAAGCAAAGCTCATGTGTTAGCAAAAAACATATTAAATAAAAGCTCAAACAAAGTATTGGATAAGATGTTTGAACATATATCTGAAACAGAAATGGATTCCACTTCTCGATTTTTTAAAACGGTATATTGCTCAACAAAAAATCACCGTCCTCTTATACAGTTTGAAGAACTAGTACAATTACAACAAAGCAATGGATTAGACTTAGGCTCTTTCTTACATAGTAGAATAACTGCACTCGAATGGTAAATAATATTACCAAGGAGATGCGCAAACGACTTATTTTATGTCTTATACAGTCGAATTTGAAATTTACCATAATGGTGGATGAATCGATAACGCTGAGTAATAAATGCACACTAATTGTGTATATTTTATCATATTTCGATGCAGAAACGCCCATTGCAGCATTTTTAGACCTGATTGAGTTAAATGGACAAGATGCTGAAAGTATTGAGATAGATCTTTGGTCAAGTTTAAAACGTAGTGGAATATCATTATAGTTTTCATTAAATAATTGAATTTCGTTTGCCAGTGATGGCGCAAGTGTGATGACAGGTAAAAAAGGCGGAGTTGTTACTAAACTGTGTGAGAAAATACCCTATCTATTTACGTGGCATTGTTTATGACATTGCCTCGAACTCTCAGTACACAATGTTATAAAAGATTGTACTGGAGTATCCCGTTTCCAAAGTTTAATGGACAAACTATATGCTTACTATCATCAAAGTCCCAAAAAGTTAATAGGCTTGGACAAATCTTGTGTTGAAGTTAGAAATGAAAACAAATCGGTCGCGTCTTGAACGTACGTTGGTCTGCAAGCAGTTTCCGAACTATAAAGGCCATATGGAATAATTATCCTGGAATATATTTACATGTTAGTAAAGCACGTGATACGATATCAAATGGCATACGAAATAAATTAGAATCCACTTCTTTTTTAGAAGAACTTGGACTTTTTTACGATAATCTTTCTGAGTTTCCAATGTTATCTTGCATATTACAGTCTAGAAAAACAACCTTAATGCGTGCCCAATAGGAGATGAATAGAACCATTAGAATTTTAGAAAGTCTAAAAGTTGAATCTGGGAAAAAAGAAAAGGAAATTATAGAAGCTATTCAGAAAGGAATTCATAAAGATGTTAATATTATAGTAAAAAAATCAGGAGGAATCAACAGGCTACAATTTTTGCAGAATCTAATTGACAGAATGCGGTATCGCTTATTTGATAACTCAAAAAATAGCCTAATGTTAGAAGATCTTCAGGTTATAAAAATTGCAAATAATAATAATACTAAATTTTAATTTGACAGTTATTTAAACAGTATAAGTAGAATTTAAATTAAATGTTTTATAGGTTATTGATGAAGTGTTTAAAACACCAATTAATGATGCCAAAGGAGAAGATGAAGTTAAAAGGGTATCACAGAAATAAGGTTTATCTAAATTTGAAAATATATTTGACTTCCGTTCAAGAAATGTTTCTTCTAGTTTCATGAAAACATTAAATATACTCCCGAATTCAACAGCTGATTGCGAGCGAGGATTTTCAGATATGAACTTGACAGTATCTCATTTGTGTACTAGTTTAAACATCGACAATGTGTCAGAATTGATATTCATCTCTATCAATGACCCTTCAGTTGCTGATTTCGCTAAGTCAACGCGGTCGCGCGCCTCAAGTCCGCCACCCCCAGAGCGTCGGGGCGCTATCAGCAAGCCAAACTCGACGGGGCTTACTCCGAGTCCCGTGGTACGAGGTTTGAACCCGGCGTTCAGGCACTCGCAACTGCCTTGTCCCCAAGCAGGTCGATCGGGGCACGGCTGTGTGTATCTCTACGGCCCCCTTCTGTTACGTACGGTATTTGCCTTTTTGACAGATCGCCGTTTCTGCCAGGTGCCTCTGCCGTATCAAGTCCCTAGCCAGCTGAATACGCGCATGTGTTTCGCCCGAAGGGTGGTCTGGCCTCTATGGTTCGAGCTCTCGGTCTAGGCAAGAATTCATTCATATGGAAAAGAGGGCACCCAATTCGCCTCACGGGATATCCCGTCCCACCTTCGTGAGAAGGCGGGCACAAAATTTGTCCCGCGAGGTATCACGTCCCTCACTCCCGGCTAGGCGGGTTTTAGTATGGAGGGCGTTCAACGATCCTGTGGGGGCGCCGTTTTAGTTATCTTAGTCCGGCTGTCGGGTCCCGTTACGCCTGCCACTATCCGGTTCTCCGCAGGCTTTCGCCCCACCACCGTTTCTGACGGTCGACGATCATTTTGCCTAGGCCCACTCTGACGATTTATGCCGTGTGGAAAGCGGAGACGGTCCCCATGTCTCTGGCAGTGCGCCGTGTCCTGCAAGTACGCCCTCTAGTCACAAGCCTTTTCCGCTTTGTTTCTAAAATTAAGGGTCCGAGTGGTACCCACGGGATCGCCTTACATTTTCACGTTCTAGGACTTCCCGGGGGAAGGTTTTGAACGCAAGGATCATGGCCTCCGTGGAGGTCATAATATCGCAGTCACACGGCCAGTCCACACCGACTGCTTGCGCTGCGGCTGCGAGCTTGTCTCTTTCCTGCCTATATACTGGGCAATCGAATAACACATGCTTCGCGGTTTTCTATGGGAGACCCTATCGGCAACGCGCCTCACCTCGAAAGTTGAAACGACAGAGCGACGAATTAAAATTCCCGTGCCCGGACAAGAACTGTGAGACGTAGTGATCCAGAACGAACCACGGTCTTTCCAGTCTGCGCCAGACCTCCGGGAACCAAACCGCCGTCCGCCTACCTTTGTCACTGGTGTTATAGGCTACGAGATATGCTAATAATATAAATATATATAATATAATATGTAATATTGCTAGAAGGATAACGTACTGTACTCGTCGTTTTCCTTGTTTTTATACTAATCCGTGTAACTTAGTCTCATGCAGACAGCCAAACCGTACGGTCACGTAACTATCGTTGAGTATCATGTTAAAATTAATCACCTTAATTCTACTGGATTTTTTCGGTTAAACAACCACTCGTCTCAGTTTTTAATACTGTATTAGGATCCTGTGTCTAAGAGAGGCTACAAGCCCTTATTAAACGGAAATTTACGTAAGTACAAAAAAAAATGCGTTTGTGTATGATACATATTTATACACATCTTATCTTTTCTCCAAGGCATCGCTACATGGTGACCTTTGGACCGGCGATTACACTGACCAACCGACAATCCTCAGATCATTAATTTAATTAATATTAAATATCTAATGAATAGCCAAACTGCCAACAATAATTATCGCAACAAAAATACACTAACCAAAAACATGCCTAATCAAAACTCGTCTCAAACTACTTCCAAACAAAAACAAAGAGCAGGATCAGCTGGTTCTGTAAATAAATCACACGAAACTCACATACCGAGTGGACCAAATGACGTCTTTAAATCTTCCGAGTCAGTGGACGAAAACAATGATCAATTCATACTAAAACAAACAAAAAAACAGCCAAAGCGAAATCTTTCATCGACAGACACTTCCAATCCCGAACCTAAGAAAGTCAAACCTTTATTTATAACGGTCAACAGATTTGCTCCGCTCTCAAACGAAGATACCGTGATGGGAAACACCAAATACGATCCCACTTCTTATAACAATTGAACTCCATCCGATGACCAAAATTATAAAAGAAAACTTCCTCCCCCTAATTATGTTCGTGGTATCCTTGATTTTGTTGAAGTGCGCAATGAACTAATTAAACTAATCGGCACTGACACATTTAATTGCAAATCATCTACAAACGATTTAAAAATCCAAATTTCAGAGTCTATGTATTACCGTAAAGTAATACATTTTCTAAAAAACAGACAAGCTCAATACCACACGTACCAACCTCAGGAAGAAAAAGCATTCCAAATAGTGGTCCGAAACCTTCACCCGTCAACTCCAATAGTTGAAGTAGGAATAGCAATCCAAGAAATCGGTTTCTCGGTCAGGCAAGTTTCCAATGTCCTCCAAAAAACCACCAAAAATGAACTTCCTATGTTCTTCGTCGACCTGGAGCCAGTGGCGTATTTAGGAATTTTAGGATAAGGTCAACATATATTTTGCCGCCCCCCCCCCAGTAAAAAAAAAAAAAAAACTAAAAATCTTTTGTTGTTATTGATTAATAAAACCTCTATAAAACTGCCAAGTATACATTATAATTAAAAAAAATCAAAACTTTTTCTTTCTTGCTTCAGAAGTAGCAAAATCATTAATTATTTTTTCAAAATCTAATGAATTTGTTATTTCAGTTTCAATTGCTAATACTGCTAAAGCTGAGCATCGGTCTTGTGCCATTGTAGACCGTAAATAGTTTTTTATTCTTTTGAGTGTAGAAAAGGAACGCTCTGCACTACAGTTTGTAGATAGTGTACACAACAAAATACGTAAAGCAACTTCAACATACGGATAAACACTAGTAATATCATGTTTTCTTATAAACTGTAACATCTGTATTGTTGAAAGCTTAACTTCAATGTTTTTTATATGACCTTGAAATTTTACACACTCATTTACAAAACATGTTGCTATATCATTTGGGTAAGTTTTCTGCAATACTTCAGCATCTTCTCTTACTTTTTCTGGAGTAATTTCATGTAACTTAAAAAAAAAAAAAATTTTTTCACTTATACATCATAAGCAAGTTTCCTTCTTTTCAATTCATATGATAGATTGTCAAGTATAACATAATAAGTGTTTATAATCAAATAGTCTCTTTTTGAAAATAATATTTCATTATCATTGTTTTCATCAATATGTATTTTCCTTTTTCTTTTCCGTTTATTATGGTCATTGTAATCCTTTATTCCAGATTTTTTTATGGCAATATCTTCTAATATTTTAAAAGAATTTTCATTTCTTAAAGATTCAATGTAATGAATTAAGGATTGATATAGTTCAACAACTGTAATTAAATCTATGTTAACAGACTATAGCTTCTTACTGGTTTTATTTACACGCTCTAAAATGTTTGTCCAAAAGATTGTCATAAATACTGTTTCAAGGCGGTTGATTTTTTTAAGTAAGCCAACAGCTTCCGACTTTGTTGAAGGCTTTTCATTAATATTATTTGAAATTTTATGTAATGCATCTATTATATTATTCCAATTTTTGGATAAAGAATGACAAGCATCATCACGGGCTGACCAACGGGTTGCTGAAAGACTTTTCACGGTTCCTTCTAATTCAGACCATCTATGTGTGGAAGCTGTAAAAAAGTTATAAATATTTTGAACAATGTCAAAAAAATCGCAAGCTTCACGACAGGCACTGGCTGCACACATTCCAACTAAATTCAAGGAATGAGCAGCACAGGGAACGAAATTGGCCAATGGATTTATTTCTTTAATTCTGGCTTGTAAGCCACTATATGCACCAGCCATATTACTTGCATTATCATAAGATTGTGCACGTAAAAATATTGGATCAAGATCAAAAAGAGATAACATAGTTAAGACTTCATCAATAAGTTCTTCTGATTTATGTCCACTATTAGGCAAAAAACACATAAACCGTTCAATAGGTGTACCATCATTTTTAACATACCGCACCACAAACGATAATTGATCAACATGCGATATGTCTGGTGTTAAATCCACTATTATTGAAAAGTATTTTGCTTTTTGAATTTCTTCCACTATAACTGTAAGAACCTGGATCAGCCATTACAGTTATGAATTGTTCAAATATATTAAATGATAAATATGATGTAAAGCCTTTTCCTTTGTTGGCAAATTTTTCTATATGTGTAGCTAGAAATGGGTCAAATAACGCAATTAGCTCCAAGGACATTAAAAAATTACCATTTTGATTACAACCAAATTTATCAGTTTTGTCTCTAAATGCTAATCCTCTAGAGGAAAGTGTCTTAACGACAGCAACAACTCTCCTTAACACATTTTTCCAGTAGTTATTTTCTCCTTCTATTTGTAATATTAAAGCACTATCTATTCTTTGAGCTACTTTTCCTCTATCTTTCATAGTTAAGACATTAGTTTTGTGAGTTTGAGAATTTTCATGTGAAGTAATTCTTTTCTCTGCATGCTTCCAATCAGAAAATCCTACAGTTGAAAACACAGATGTCGAACCAAATAATTTACATGGAGCACAGAATACTGACCCAGTACTTTCAGAGTACACCAAGTAATTTCTCTTAACTTTTTCACCATTAATAAGGACCATATAAAATAATTTTAATGAACAATATCGGTAATGTACTTTAAGAACTCCACGGATGACATTTTTACTTGTTCTTTTTGATTTTATGAAGTTAATAGTTTCAATATTTTGAGATATTCCATTGACTGATATATAACTTCTTGTTGCGTCATCAACACACCAGTATGCCGGGTCATCACTTTAAAAATATATATAATTTAAATCAATTATAACGATAGAAATATTCAGTTAAAAATATATATATGAATAGAATAACTACCTGGGTGATATTAAATTTCTAGTAATATCGTCAACATGACTGTTATTGAAATTAACAGAACCAACAGAGCAATGTTTCTCATTTAAACTAACAGTATCCATATCATTAGTTTCAGAAATTTTATTTCTTTCATTCAAATCAACATAATCGACAGAACAATGTTTTTCATTTAAATTAACAATATCAATATCTTTAGATTCAACAATTTTATTTTTTTTCATCATCTAAGAAAAATAGTATTCATATTGTTAATATATATATATATTAGTATATTAATGTAATATGTATATTGTTTATGTTTATAGCTATAGCTAGTAGTTATATAGTTATAATTATATTTAGTAGTATTTTAATTTACATAATATTCAGTTCACAGTTTAAATTATAAGTATAATAATTATGTAAATAATGAATAACTTGTAATAATAATTGTATTTAAATAATTTTCAATTAATTTTTATTAATAAAAATGCATAAAAATATTTGATTTTCAAAGACAAATTCATAATATATCAATTTCTGTAATTAAAATACTTAATTCAAAAATTATTTAAAAAGTATTCAAAATACTATAAAAACATTTAAATACATTTACTCAAATACTATACCTGACTGGTATATAAAATAATATAATATATAAGTATTTAGCAATAATTTAATGAATATATTCAGTGTACATATAAGTTATAAGTATAATTTATTATGTGCTTAAATAATAATTTGTACTAATATTATTAGATAATTATTAATTAATAATTAATTTAGCTATTTGAAATTTGGATAGCCTAAAAACATTATATACCTATATATATATATATACAATTTAAATATAATACATCAAAGGGTAACTTTTGAAAATGAATACATTAATGTGTTGCATACTTGTATGCAAGAATATTAAACAAATAAAATCACAAACTAACTATCAGGTCTGAGAAATCATAAATGTTTTTCAAACTTACCAAAAGATGCTAGAACAATTCTTCAAACAAAATCTATTGATTCGAAAAATATGCGCATATTTACTCCACGCCAATATATATCATTTTGGTTTGAAAAATGGAATTGAACGTCATTTCTTATTTCAAGACAGTTCTAAAAATGAAATAAAACTAGTGATTGTAATTGATAGTTTACCAATTGCCAAAAGTACAACTAGTCAATTTTGGGCAATTTTAGGATATATAAGACCACACTCTAAAAATGTTTTTCCAATAGGAATTTATTTAGGTATGGAAAAACCTAACGATAGCAATGATTTCCTTCAAGATTTTATAAATGAAGCTAAAATGTTGTTAAAAGATGGTATAATTATTAATAACAAGATTTATACAATCGTTTTTGATATTTTTTGCTGTGATGTTCCTGCAAAATCATTTATTCTTAAGATCAAAGGACACTTTGGTTACTTTTCTTGTACTCGATGTAGAGTGGAAGAGAAACATATAGAAAATAGGACTTGTTTTCCATATGATGAATCAGATTTAGTTAATGTTAGAACCCATGATGATTATGTTAAAAGAGTTCAAGAATAACATCATACATCTCCAAGTATTTCATGTATTTCTGAGTTGGTAAGATTTGATGTTGTATCAAATTTTTCCTTAGACTATATGCATTTAGTATGCTTGGGCACTGTTAAAAAAATAATACTTTTAAGGGTAAAAGGGCCGTTAAATGTCAGATTGCCATCTTGGAAAATAAATGAAATATCAGAAAATGCAGTAAAACTTAAAACTTCATTTCCCTGTGAGTTTTCCAGGAAGCTTAGAAAATTAGATGAAATAAGTTGATGGAAGGCTACAGAGTTAAGATCGTTCCTCTTGTATATAGGACCAATCATTTAAAAAAAGACCCTATCTGATGTTTGTTTTAAACATTTTATGTCTTCAGTTAAAAAACTTCAAAATTGTGCGCTTATGGATTTAGATACGGTTTTACTACGATAGTTTAAACACCAAAGAAATTTATGCATTCCAATAAATGAACCAATTCTTCAACAGAAAACCAATAAATTAGCTAAAGGCTTTGGTAAACATAATTTTAATTTTTCCATTGGTTGGATTCAAAGATTTAGATCAAGACATAATATTGTATTTTCGACAATAAGTGAAGAATCCAATTCAGTTAACATTGAAATAACCCAAAATTGGCTCGACAATGTATGGCCAAAAATACGGGAAGGATAAATTGATAATCAAATTTATAATGCAGATGAGACTGGACTCTTTTTCAAAATGCTTGTATAACTGGAAAAAAAAATGAAACTGATTTTAAATGGAAAACCCTGTATTCCACGGTGTTTCGAAAATATCAAAAATATCTTCCGTCTATCGGTAACATATATAGCGAAACCACAGCCTGGTTCCGCTAGTCATCAGCGGTGGTTCTCGGGTCTGGTACTGCCAGGAAGAAACGTCCTCTAACGACACCGGTCGATAGCGTGGCATGCGGGGTTGGGCTCCGTATGCATCCGCTACAGACCGGGGCGTTTGCCCGATCCGTGGGGCTGCGGAAACGTCGTTCCACGGGCGTGAAGGCCTAGGTCAACCCGTAGCGCGGGGCCTCTTCTCCGTGAACCGATATCGCTCCCCTCTGAAGTGTGGCTCGCCGCACGAAAGATATAGTCACCTGGTGGGTGCCGGGCCGCCTTGACTACTGTGAGGATCCTGGCGGGCCGTTCCCGGCAGGTGACAGCCGCGGTTGTGCCTTGGTTTCAATGTGGGCGCCGGTGGAATGGTGCCCGTACCGACGGATCGGAGCTTCTTCATAGCGGTAGACGTAAACGACGCGACCCCCAGGTTGCGGCAGCTAACACGGATCAAACTCCAACCGTCGGCGCCACCGAGAGAGGTGGCGGCTATGCGTCCGCAGCGGTGGCTGCTGACGGTAAACTAGTGGTATATCCCTTTCAGTACTAGACCAGAATTTCATTTTAGTGTTATTTCCTACTAAACCACATATTTGTGTTTACAAATCTCGTTATCGTTTTAAATCCTTATATTAATTTCTATTTTTGTATTTACTGAAAATTAACATGCACAAATGTGTGGTTTAGTTATGTAAATCGATATAATTGAAACTAAATAAAATAGAGATTTCAGACCTATACAACACGATTGTGTAGGTAATAAACTATATTTGGAAAAAAAAGTAATAATATCGAAATAAATCGATAATATTCTATTTATAATGAATTTTATTGGGTTTCTTTGGTACTTCATATTTGTCGATAAGCCCCAGGCGTTTAATTATTTATCAATATTTTATTTTTAAACATGTTTCTGGTTTAGAATTAAGCAAAGAATATAGTAGATTACTATGGTAATCGTGTATTTATATTCTATCATAAATAATCACGAATATGTTTAACCTACACATATGTGTACGTTTGTTTTATAGTATTTATTTTAATTCGTTCACAACGCTGATTGTGTGTACTACTATACGTATTTTTTTAATATGAGTTTTTCGTGTATTAGTAACATTTTTATTTTAAATTATTAAGGTTTATTTTATTATTAATTATGAAACCGAAAACTATAACTGAGGGTGATATTTTATCATTTTTGTCTGATGAATCGGAAATTGACGGATTTAGTGACGATTCCGATAATGACAAAACGTGACAACCTCCAGTTATTAACAAAAATACTTTATATGATGAAGACGACGAAGAAGAAGATAATGGGTTTGAACAGGTTAGTGATCATGTTATTATTGAAGATACCTCGAAAACACTACCTACTTTACTACAAAATAACCAACCACAAACTCCGATTATTATAACAACTACTGGTTGGGTTCCAATACCTTTTAATGGTATTCAGTTACCAGATCAGAAATACGGTCCACATGCTTTTAAAGTAATCGAATCGGCATCTAGTTATATTAAAAAATATCTTTCAGACTCGCATTTTGATGAAGCAGCTTTATTTATGAAAATGTATGCAATGTCGAAACTAGGAAAAGAACTTAAAACCTGAGCTAATGAAATAAAAGTTCTTTATGGAGCTCATGCCATGATCGGTATAATAAAGTATCCTCGTATTCACATGTACTGGCAAAGAGGTATCCAATTTGATTTAATTATACAAGCCATAAATGGAAATAGGTTTTTTTTACTACGTTCTTGCTTACATTATGTGGATATCAACAATCGTCCACCACAAGCAGATCGCTTTTGGAAAATTAAACCAATTATCGATAGCGTACATAATGATTGTTCAAGTTTACCGCGTAATGTAAGTTGTTTTTCGATTGATGAACAAATGATACCATTTTTAGGACGTATTCCACATAAAAAATATGTCAGAAATAAACCTAGACCAGTTGGTCTAAAAAACTTCACAACTTCAAAAGGTTTAGTACTTGATTTTGAAATTTACCAAGGATAAAATACTCTATTAGACAGATTTCTGGGATTAGGTCCAGCGGTGGTTATTAGCAAAAACTATTCCAGAACATTGTGTATTATTTTTTGACAGATATTTCACCACTGTTCCATTACAAGATCGTTTAAATGCAATTAATATTAAGGCGATAGGTACAATTATGAATAATCGTTTAAAAAATATACATTTCAGTGTAGATAAAAAGTTTAAGCAAGAGAAATGGGAAGAACCTATGCGGTCTGATGACCAAATAGTTGCAATAAATGGCAAGATAGTAAGTGTGACATTGTTTTGTCAACAGCCACTGGTGCGAAGTCACACACAATGGTAGGTAACACGTTGGAGTAAGTCTGAAAAAAAATATATAGAAATTCCTTGTCCATGAATAATCAAGACTTATAACTAAAGACCGGATTTTGCATATTATGCATGTTCATATTTTTATAAGCAATTACATGCAATAAATGGGTTTTCATCAATCATACTTAAATAAATAATATTACAAATTTTTATTTTGCATATTTTTGCATATTTTGGGTTCAAGTGCATATTTTATATAAAACCGCATGTTTTTGCATAATACGTAAACACTAAGTATAAATTTAATTTAATTTTATGATTGTATGAACAATTATTATATATAAATTTTTCCACAATACAAAAATTGAAAATATTTTGTTTCCGTATTAGTTGGTAGGTAAGGTAGG